AAAGTCAATGACAAAGAAAAAATATCAAGGGCAAGAGAGCAGAAGAAAACCTATAAAGGAACCTCTATCAGGACTTCAGTGGATTTCTTGGCAGAAACATTAAAGCCTAGGAGAGAATGAAATGACATATTCAAAATACTAAAAGACAAAAACTTTTGGCCAAGAATACTCCATCCATCAAAATTATCCTTCAGAGAAATAAAAGCTTTCCCAGATAAAGAAAGGCTGAGGGACTTCATCACCACCAGACCTCCTCTACAAGAAAGGATTAAAGATATCCTCATACCTGACACAAAAAGGCAAGGGTCTACAAAGCTTTGAGCAAGGAGATAAATAGACAAAATCAGAAAACTGCAGCTCTCTTTCAGAACAGGGAAGCAAATACTCAATTATAACTTAAAAGATAAAGTGAAGGAAAGCATCAAAAGTGACTATAAACACTTCAACTTAGTCACAAACTCACAACACAAAACAGAATAATTTGTGACAACAATAACTCAGAAAGGGAAGAAAATGGGGATGGAACCTGCTTAGGCAAATGGAGATAAGAGGTTATGAGAAATTGGACTATCTCATCTGTGAGACATTTTATACAAACGTCATGGTAACCACTAAACAAGAAACCAGAGCAGAGCCACAATTTGTAACAAAAAAAAAGAGAGAGAGAGAGAGAAAATTGATAAAGCCTCCAAAATAAAATGGCAGTCAGAAATACAAAGCAAGAGAAAAAATGGAAACACAGAACTGGGAAACAAGAGATAAAATGGTAGTATTGAGCCCTCATATATCAATAATCACTCTAAATATAAATGGAGTGAATTCTCCAATCGTAAGACACAGAGTAGCTGCATGGCTTAAAAAACAAAGACCCAGCAGGTTCCGGCCAGGTGGCATAGCTTTAAGTTCTCACACTCCACTCTGGAGGCCTGGAGTTCATGGGTTTGGATCTCGGGCATGGACATACACACACTCATCAGGCCATGCTGTGGCGGTGTCCCACACACAGAGTAGAGGAAGATCGGCACAGAGGAAGATTGGCTCAGGGACAATCTTCCTCACCAAAAAAAGAAAAAATTGATCTAACAATCTGCTGCCTTCAGGAAACAGCTCTCAGCTCTAAAGATAAACATAGGTTCAGAGTGAAGGGATGGAGGATGATACTCCAAGCAAATGGCAAATAAAAGAAAGCAGGTGTTGTTATACTTACATTGGACAAAACAGACTTCAAGATAAAAAAGACAATAAGAGACAATGAAGGGCAGTATATAATGATAAAAGGGACTTTCCACCAAGAAGACATAGCACTTATGAATACATATGCACCTAACACAGGGGCACCAAATCATATAAGACAACTATTAACAGACTTAAAGTGAGAAATTATCAGTGACGTAATAATGGAAGGGGACCTCAACACCCTACTTACATTAATGGATAGGTCATCCAGACAGAAAGTCGAAAAGGAAATAGTGACTTACATGATGCACTTGATCAGATGGACTTAATAGATATAGAGAGATCGTTCCAACCCAAACCAGCAGAACACACATTCTTCTCAAGTGCACATGGAACATTCTCAATGAAAGACCATGTGTTGGGAAACAAGGCAAGCCTCAATAAATTTAAGAAGATTGAAATCATATCAAGCATCTTTTCTGACCACAATGCTATGAAATTAGAAATCAGCTACAAGAAAAAAAGCTGGGAAAGTGACAAATATGTGGAGACTAAACAACATGCTACTGAACAACCACTGGATCAATGAATAAATCAAAGGAGGAATTTAAAAATAGCTGGAGACAAATGATAATGAAAATACAACATACCGACTCTCTTATAGGATGCAGCAAAAGCTGTTCTAAGAGGGAAACTCATAGCAATACAGCCCCACCTCAACAAACAAGAAAAACCTCAAATAACTAATCTTAAAGTACACCTAACAGAACCAGAAAAAGAAGAAACCTCAAGTCAGCAGAAGGAGGGGAATAATAAAAATTAGAGCATAAATAAATGAAATAGAGACTAGAAAAATAAGATAAAGGATACATGAAACTAAGAGCGGGTTCTTTGAGAAGAGAAACAAAATTGACAAACCGTTAGCCAGATTTGCCAAGAAAAAGAGAGAAGGCTCAGATAAATAAAATTAGAAATGAAAGCGGGAAATTACAATGCACAACACAGAGCCTATAGTTCATGATGGTCCATTGTATACTTAAAAATTTGCAAAGAAGGTAGATCTTATGTTATGTGCTCTTACCATAAAAACCTAAAAATTACAAAGTTAGGGGCAGGAGGAAACTTTTGGAGATGATGGATAAGTTTATCACATCGATTGTAGTAACGGTTTCCCAGGTGTGCACTTATCTCCAAACTCATCAGGTTGTTTACATTAAACATGTACAGCTTTTTGTATGTTAATCACACCTCAATTAAGTAGTTTAAAAAAAGGAAACTGACAGTCTCAGTGAAGACACAGGGAAAGAACACAAGAACACAAGTCACAAAAGAAGATAGTAGAGCGACTGAAAATGAAAGTACATGGTCATCTTGGGCTGGAATTGTTGAGAACTCTCTAGGTTGAAGGGATAAGGAATGGATACACCAAGCATGCAATTCAGTGGAATTTACTTCAAGAGAAATAAAAGGGAATGGGTCAGTGTTAATGCAATTGTTGTTGATTTTAGAATAAACAGATTGAAATGTCTCCAAGAAGTCAGGCTGTGGGGCCAGCCAGGTGGCACAGCAATTAAGTTCACCCACTGTGCTTTGGCAGCCCGGGGTTCACAGGTTCAGATCCTGGGCGTAGACCTGGCACCGCTCGTCAAGTCATGCTGTGGCAGCATCTCACATAAAATAGAGGATGATTGGCAGCAGATGTTAGCTCAGGGCCAATCTTCCTCACACACAAAAAAAGGAAGTCAGGCTGGACAAGTTCCCATGATGCCATACGTCTGTTCCTGCTTCCTTCCCCAGTCATTAAACACATAATTAGGGTGTACTGGCTTAGTTCACAATTAGGCAAAGATCTGGAGCAGGTTTCAGGTCTCTAGTCCAGGCCATGAATAGAGACCAGAAGTTCTCCAAGAAAATAGGGTGAGCTTAGAAGTCAGAGGAAAGCATCAAGCCAGAAATAGAGAAGAATCAAGGTCCAAATAGCAGGGAGAGTAAGTGAGAACAACACTGTGGCACCTATGGGGCGAGAATTGAAGTCAGGGTTATGGGCCATGTGTCTGGAGCCCGGAACCAAGCTCTAACAGAAGTCAATGAGGCTAAGGTGGGGACCTAGAACTACTGTCTTGAACGTCTCCTAGGGCCCGAAGTTCCCCTCATGGCCTGGCAGCGATAAGACATCCAATGCGCACACTCAGCTGGGAGTTTCAGCAGTGATGTGGGCAAGAAGCTAGAAAGCCAAATATCAGAGGCCACAGCTTGGCTCTGACGAAAGTGCAGCTAATGAGGTCCACTGGGGGCTGCAGATACTGCCGAGCCTGCAGTGCAGCATCAGTGGCTAGCTCCCAAAGAAACCGGGTGGTCATCCTGGACCTTGTCTTGGGCAGAGAAGGTGCTCCAGTGGTCCTCTGCATGAAAGCTGTTGCGATTACCATTTAAAATCTGATTCTTCTTGTCTGTATTGGCGTAACCAAGGAAAGCGAAGGTTATCACTGAAACATGAGTGTCTGGGTTGGATCTGAAATAAAACTAGACTCTGTTGAATATAGAGTTAGACAAAGGAAACACCATATCTTGTGCTATAGTGGGGGTCCCAGGGCATTGTGAGGGATGTATTTGACAGGCTAGGCGGTGGCACTTAATGGGCTGCCAACAACAAGTACAGGGCTCCTGAAATTAAAGTCACCATAAATAAGGAAAATATAAGACTTGACAAGTAGGCTTTGTGTGGGAGGGGAGAGCAATGGTTTGGCTCAGTCTCCATGCTGACCTAGACCTTTAGGAGGCACATGAACCCCCTAGAATGGAGATGGCTGTGTGTTAATAATGAAAGAGTTCTATCATCGAGGTCCAGGGGACTCCACTATGGGATCCTGCTTCAAAAAATTGCAATATGGGAAACAAGACCTTTCCCTACCAGCTGAGGAAATCTGACATTATAGATCCTGCAATATACGAGGAGATGCCACAAGGAGCATCAAAAGCCAGGAGCAAGTCAGCGCCACCAATGAGGTGGCCAAAGGAGAGAAGTGGAGACCTGAGGCAGCTGGTGTGTGGACCTAGGCAAGGGGTTGATGCAAGAGATAAAGTCATGGGGATCTAGAAGCAAGAGATGCTAGCAACGGCAATAGGGCAGGCAGCTGCCCCACGATCCCTGGTAGGGAGTTTCCTTGTGGGTGGCTGCAACAGTGTGGCAGCAGCTCAGGGGCCCAAACTGGCCACTAGAGCAATGCACAGGCAAACATCAGCTCAGACGGTGGAGAGATGAGAGAAGGAAGTTAAGGGGAGGCCATCCCACAAAAGGCAAGTGGGGCACTTTCCTAGATCCAGAGCAGACAGCAAAAGAGTGACCCTGCCAGGTAGCAGCTCTTCCAGGCATGTCCCCACAGCCTGCAGCCCCTCCACATGCCCCACCCCTGCCCAGATATGCTAAGGAGCTCCCAGCTCTTCCCCAGTATCTGGGCAGCAATATTGAGATGAAGAAGAAGAGAAGTGGGCGTAGCAAGTCCTGGCTCTTGGAAATCTTCAAATACAGGTTTCTTGCGATAGTTGCAAGTCATTGTGCAGCTTGCTGGTCTTCTCTGGACCTTGGATTCCTGGACATCAGCAAAATGCAGACACTGATGATGCCACTTAACTCACAGGGCTGCAGTGAGGTGTGGAGGAGGTCAAGGACTGAGGGCGCTCTACAAACTCTAAGGTGGTATGCGTGTGGTGTTATGAATATCAGTGGCAGGTTTCCAGAGCCAGAGGAGAGTGAGTAAACAGGGAAGAAAATTGCCCCACTTTTTGAAGAGTGTTCTCAGAAGACCAGAGCTGGGAGGCTCAGCTTACAGGGCAGGTATAAATAGCCAGCGCCTACCAAGGAAAGGCTAGTTTGCCTGGAGATCCTGGAACCCTAGAGGACGCAACCGTGAGTACTTCTGTCCTCGCCTCTCATTTTGTTCTCCCAGCGTCTGGTGAATATCTCCCTGCCCATATGGGGAGCTCATCCTCCCGGTGCTGAGGAAGGCAGAGTCTGGGCAGTCGGTCCCGGAGTGTGGGTGTGAGAGGTGGGGTCATAGTGGGGTAATAATTGTGCCTTTCTGCCCCTCGCTCCACTCCTTTTGCTCAGTGGGAGATCTGCCTGCTGGGCTGGGGGAGGGTGGGTGAGTGGGGTGTGACACCTAGCCAGACCCCAGATGCCGTCGTGCAGAAGCCTCAGTGGAAAATGCAGCTCCAGCTTCTCCCTTGGCTCCTCTCCATCTCTGATTCCTTCAGAAACAAGGGTGGTGGCAGAGAAACAGATCAGGCATTCACAGGCCAGGGTTCTAAGTCCATTCTGGCACCAGCTGACTGTGGCACCTGGATAAACACACTCCTCTCTTAGCCTCAAATCTTTACTTAAAAAAAATACTTACTGTGAGGCCGACCTGGTGGCGCAGCGGTTAAGTGTGCATGTTCCACTTTGGTGGCCCGGAGTTCACTGGCTCAGCTCCCCAGTGTGGACGTTGCACCGCTTGGCAAGCCATGCTGTGGTAGGTGTCCCACGTATAAAGTAGAGGAAGATGGGCATGGATGTTAGCTCAGGGCCGGGCTTCCTCAGCAAAAAGAGGAGGATTGGCAGCAGTTAGCTCAGGGCTAATCTTCCTCAAAAAAAATAAATAAATAAACCTACCGGACTAGGTCAATGATTTTCCAACCAATTTTCAGAGGATTCATTTTTTCAATAAAATCTTAGTCTGAAAGCTTGTCATAAACTGAGCACTACATCGGCTGAGGGGGCTGTGGCTCTGCCCTCACCCTCTGTAGTGCCAGCAAGATGCCTCCCCTGAATCCTGGGTCTGAAAAGCTGTGCGTTAGCTTCTCCAAGTCCCCTTCCCACCACAAAGGGCAGCGGTGCCTTCTGCGCCATCCTGAGCCATTGGGCAGAAAGCCTATTGCTGTTCATCCTTCCCCAGATTTGGGTGCAGGGCCCCACAGTGGTGGAAGCTGCAGACCAGGGATGCTGCCCGTGCTCTGTCGTGGTCCTTGATGCTCCTGACTGAGCCTCTGCCACGGCAAGTGCAGTGAAGCGGCAGCTGGCCTGCGAGCCCACCTGGGTGTTTCTAGAGACTCCTAGAATGCCTGAGGAAGTGAGGAATTCAAAATCAAAAGAGGCTAGTGCAAAATAGGGCTCATCCACAGCCCAGAATCGCCAGCAACCAAAGAAGGAGGCAGCTGTCTGGCCAGGAGTTCCTTCCCCTGCCGCCACCGCAGCTGCCTAGTGGCCCCCTTCTCCTTTGCACAGGTCCCTCAGGCTTTGTTCCCAGCCCCTGCAACTCCCACAAGCTCTTTCCATCCTCAACTTAACAGTTTCTCTCTGAGAGAGGAAAAAAGCCCAACATTGGGAGTGACGCAGACTCTGCATCCTCCCTGATCGCCCCTAGTTCCTAAGTCCCTCTCAGACGGTCACTGGATGCCCTCCTAGACGCCTGCTCTTTCCTGCCTCCAGAACCAGGCTCCTGTGCCTGAGTCCATCGCACATGTGCCCTTCCTCCATGAGGCCCCTCTTCCGAGTCCTCTCCAGTGGTCCGGGCAGAGCTCTAGGCATCCCAGGGTCTCTCCAGCTGCTGACTAAATGTGTCTGAGAACTTTCACCTGGGTTCTCTCTGGCACTTTCCTCATGGAGACAGCATCTAGCCCAGGAACGACAAATCACCGGGCAAACACGCAGCCATGCACCATCCTGTGCTCAGAATTCGGGACTCTGGCTCCTTTTCAGACCAGGCCCGCAGACCAGCAGTTCTAGTCCATCCAAGGCAGTGAGTGAGAGGACCAGGTCTGCCTCGTCAGAGCTGAGCCAAACACCTTAATGGTACAGACAGGGAGAAGGAGGTCCAGACAGGGGAAAGGTCCTGCCCAAAGCACTCAGTGGATCCTTCCTGATGTGACACACGGCCTCTGTGCAGAATTCTACATCCTAGCCTCCATGCCAATGGCAGCGTCCAACGGAAAACACAAGAAGGGACGACACGGGGCATCTGAGAATAGGTGGATGTCAACCCACATCAGAGTTCCAGCTGGCTGACTCATGCCCTCCCAGGCCACGCCATATGCTCGCTTTGCCCCTACGCTGCTTTCAGAGTCCTGCTGCTCTTGGTCCCGCATGAGGGGAGGGCAGGTGGGGGAAGTGCTTCTCCTGACTGTCAGGAGCCGGGCCAAACCCTAACCCGCGTCCTAGAACCAAGAGCATGTCCTTTCACTTTCTCTTTCTCTTCATCTGCCCAGGCCATGTTTCTCCTCCCTCTCTCTGTGCTGGTCCTGCTCACACGGCCCTCAAGGTCACTGGGAGCAGAAATGAAGACCTATTCCCAGAGAACAGTGACCAACGCCTGCACCCTGGTCATGTGTAGCCCCATGGAGAGTGGCCTGCCTGGTCGTGATGGACGGGACGGGAGAGAGGGCCCCCGGGGCGAGAAGGGGGATCCAGGTAGAGCTGGGACCATGGGCTTGTGCTGGTGGGAAGCGGTGGGCATTGGAATTGTAACCAACTCAGAAACTCTGGTCATTCTGCTCTGGGAGGCTTGGACACAGGCTTCTTCTCCCCAAGGGGTGGGTTTCCCCCAGACTTTCAGTCTACCTAAAACATCGCTTTACTGGTTGGCAAATGACAGGCTGCCCTGAGCCCCCATGTGCCTCCCGCCCTCACCAGCTGCTCTGACTCCTCCCCTGGAAGATTCTGATTCCTCTCACTCCAAGAATGAGACAATAGTGGGTATTTGGAGCCCACTGACCTCCGCTCCAGCACTTAACAGTTGTTCATTCTGATAAATAGTGCCTGTGCAGGGAGTTAAATATTTTTCATGTTTAATTTAATTAAATTCTGTATGAAGGCAGAGGGTAAGGCTCTGTGGGCCTGTACTCAGACCTGATCCAAAGGACTTGCCCTAAACACGTTACGGAGAGAAGCAAAGGGCGCTCGCGTTTCTTTGTCCATCCTTGTGCTTGGGTGGTCACTTAAGTAATTCATGTAATCCTACCAAAAGTCTCGCAAAGGACATACTCGTCCCACTTGACAGGTAAGAAAATTGTGACGCAGAAAGGCTAAATGACACCCAGTCTGGAAGGTGAAAAGGACCTGGGATCCTGCCTCAGGCAGATGTGTGCGTGACTGCTGGCTCCCCCTCCACAGCAAGGACCTTCCAGAGACAAGCCCCCGGGGTCTCTGAGTCTCGATTTGCTCATCTGTAAATGGGAGTGGTATCCACCACACAGTAACAACAGTCGAGCTAAGGTTTCATTTCTGTTGAGTCTTCAGGATAATGTTGCATCTTCCTGCTGTGCCAATCAGGCAAATTCTCCTGAGGTTTCCGGAGGTCCTGCTTGCTAAGGGAATTATCCGAGAAATACTGCCTCATGGGGAGGATTTATGTTTTATTGTCAAGAAGAGCTGATTCGATGAACCAGCAACAAGGACAGAAGGACCCCTGTGGTGCTGCGCTAGGGCTCGGGAGAGATCAACCGTGGTCTTTATCTTTCTGGAGTTTGCGTTTTGGTTAGGGAGGAAGGAAACTAACGACATTTAAGCTGGAAAGCACAGGCAACATCCCATGGCTTTGTAGAATAGGAGGTAAGCTAGCACATGTCTGTCCCTTCCAGTCAGAAAGGGGCTCCCAACAGCAATGGGCTGGGGCTCGGGGAAGGCCGCCTGGAAGTGGACTCGCGAGAAGGGTGGTATTCAAGGTGCCAGCTCTCTCTCGGATAATCCCGGTTCTCTCTAATTCCCAGAGGTGCCCTGAGTTGAATCCTGGGGGGGCCTTTCCCACAGCTGCGCTCTGAACCCAGGGCATGGAGTGTGGCAGAGACCTCTCTTTCTTGTGCAGATGCCTCACCCCGTGCACTTACTTTCCAAGCCTGGCCTTGGATCAGCGCTTGGAGACAGAACTGTGCACAGCTGCGCCAGCCGACAGGCTTCTAGTCATTGTGCACTTGAGTTCAAGCTCTATGAAGAAGAGATTTGATTTCTTGTCTCTTTCTTTCACTGCTATATCTCAGCATTTAAGACAGTGCCTCCCACGTAGAGAAGCTCAGGGAATACTTGTGGAATGAATGAATGTAAAATGCAAAGACGGGAGGAATTTGAGTGCAGTTAAGACTGGCCACACTGCTAGTCCGTAAAGCTTCACTTCAGGTGGCATGAGCGTGCAGGGCTAGATCCTCAGGGATCCCAGGATGCAAAGTGGGTGCTTTGGGAGGCGTGGGTGCTTGCTGCTGAAGAGAGGGTCCCTCCCCCCACCTCAGTGCTCTCATGGCCTCCACAGTTGGTGCACCAAGGGTGGGCAACCTCCAACGCTCCCTCGCAGGGAGCGGCTTTTTCCCTTGGCCCCTCGCCTTGCTGCCATCCTGGCCAGTGTGGAGCCCAAGAGAGGCTCAACCTGGGGTCGGGGCATCTCTGCTCCTGGCCCACTGCACTGTTGGGTGTGGGACGTGGTGCCCATCCTATAGCCCCTGTACTTCCATTTCATTCCTAGTGAGGATTGCAACTAAAATCAGGGCACAATGCCCCGCACAGACACTCAGCTGCCCGTCTAATGCACCAGTCCCGCACCAACACCACGTTCTCACCCCAGGCAGACCTGGCCCCTCCTGCCCTGGGAGCATCGTTTCCAAGACCAAAATGTCCCCTCTGCTCTACAAGTCTCTCTAAACCCTCCTCGCCCCGGAGTCCCATTTCCTCCTTCAGGACAACAGCGCTGAGTACGTGTGTGTGCAGGGGTCGGGCGCGCTGTGATGGGATGCGGGACATCCCAGGACTTGTCTTCCTCACCCGTTGCCCGTGCCTCACAGTTTAAAATCCTGTCACAGATCCCTTGCAGACCAGACTGGTGCTAACATTTGCACCTTGCCCAGCGCTAAGCATAAAGTTAAGCTCCATAGATGGTTTCTTAATGAACAAATAAATGAAATAATGAGCAAGGGAACAAGTGAGCACCACCTGTGAGGTGTCATTTCTTTTCTTTTCTTTTTGCACATGAATGTTTATAGCAGCTTTGTTCTCAATAACCAAAAGACAGAAAGAGCCCAAATGTCCATCAAGCAAAGAATGGATAAAGAAAATGTGTTCTCTCCGTAGAATGGAATACTGTTCACCCATACAAAGGAATGAAGCACTGAGACACGCTACAAAGTAGCTGAACCACAAGAACATCACTCCACATTTAAAAAGCCAAACACAAAGCGTTGCATGTTGTATGAACACATCCCTACGAAATATCCAGAATAGGTGATGTGGACGGAAAGCAAAATCGTGGTAGCCGGGGCCTGGGAGGAGAGGGGCCAGGGAGTGATGGCTTAATGGGTGTGGGGTTTTCTTTGCAGGCGATGAAAGGTTTTTAAATAAACAGAGGAGATAGTTGCACAACACTGTGAATGTGCTAAATGCCACTGAATTGTATACTTTAAAAAGGTTAATTTTACATTATATGAATTTCACCTCAATAAAAAGGAATAATCAAACTAGCAGAATGGAGTGTAACATTCTTCACTATTGATGGTCATTTGCTCCCTTTCCTCCTTTTGCATAAATCTTGTATAATTTTAGGCTTAGGCAGCCTTTCTTGAGGTAACATGCTTTTTTAAAAAACTGATCATTTTTTCAATACAAAAGTAATATGTGATCACTAAAGACAAAAAAGAAGAAAATTAAAATTACCTTAATTGTACCCCTTTGAAGGAACAACTGTTAACACTTGTGTGTACCTCTTTCCTGTGTTTTTTCCACTGTGTATTACCTGTGCACACACCTGACAATGCACGTACATGTTTAGGAAACAGGAGCATATTGAACATAGGGTTTATAGCATACTTTTATCACTTAATGACGCGTTAGATAATAATTTGGCCTGTTGTCTATAGTTTCAAGACCATGTTACATAGCTTTTTAAAAATTGAGATATAGCTGATGTATTAGTTTCAAGTATACAATATAAGGATTCAATATTTGTATACATCGTGAAATGATCACCACAATAAGTCTAGTTAACATCAACCACCACACATAGTTACAAACTTTTTCTTGTGCTGAGAACTTTTAAGATTTACTCTCTCAGCAACTTTCAAATATTCAATACAGTATTATTAGCTATAGTCACCATGCTTTACATTATCTTTTGGCCACTTTTGCCCATTTCCCCCACCCACCACTCTCGCCTCTGACAACCACCAATGTGTTCTCTGTATCTGTAAGTTCAATCTTTTTAGATTCCAGATATAAATGAGGTCATATGGTATTTGTCTTTCTCTGTCTAACTTATTTCACTTAGCATAATGCCCTCAAGGGCCATCTGTGTTGTTGCAAATGACAAGCTTTCCTTCTTTTTTATGGCTGAATAATATTCCATTGTATATATATCTCCCATTTTCTTTATCCATTCATCCCTCACTGGACACTTAGGTTGTCTCCACATCTTGACTATTGTGAATAATGCTGTGATGAACATGGGGGTGCAAATATCTTTTCAGGTGAGTGTTTTCATTTACTTCAGATAAAAATGCCCAGAAGTGGAATCACTGGATCTTATGGTATTTCTATTTTTGATTTTTTGAGAAATCTCCATACTGTTTTCCATAGTGGCTGCACGAGTTTGCACTCCCACCAGCAGTGTATGAGGGTTCCCTTCTCTCCACATCCTCGCCAACACTTGTTATTTCTTGTGGTTCTGATAACAGCCATTCTAACAGGTGTGAGGTGATATCTCACTGTGGTTTTGATTTGCGTTTCCCTGATGATCAGTGTTGGGCATCATTTCTGACGCAAACTTTGGTTCTGGGAAGGGGAGAGCGAGGAGTACATGATCCAGGGGGATGCTGACAGGATGCCTGCTGGGATCCGCCTCCAACTCTGGGAAGCCTGTAAAATGGGGATGTGGACATTCATTTCCCGGGTCACCCCTGGACTGAGAAGTGTGGAGGTGAAACATCTACGCCCTGTAGAACCTGGAAGGAATGCCACCGGCCTGACCCTACAGGTTTACGCAGAGCCAGGTTCATTCTCATTTCTCTGCTGCTGCAGGTCTGCCAGGAGCTGTAGGACGAGCAGGAATGCCTGGACCACCTGGACCAGTTGGGCCCAAAGGGGAGAATGGGTCTGTTGGAGAACCTGGACCCAAAGGAGACGCTGGACCACGTGGTGAGCAGCTGGACATGGAATGCAGATGACTGCAGGAGGTGCTGCTGCCACTAGGACGTGCGGGGAGGCATGCCCAGATCCTATCCCAGGAAGAAGGAAGAGGGTCGTTCTGAAGGTGGCACTGGGTTACTCAGGGAAGACTGGGATGTGGCTGGGCAGCATCCTTAGGATGACGCTGCCTCTCTGACTCCCATTACTGCTCTCATTTTATCACGCGCTCCCGCTTCCAAGAAGACTTAGTGTCATTCACTGGGCTGGTCCTTTTCCCCAGGACTTCCAGGACCTCAAGGTTCTCCAGGTCCAGCTGGAAAAGAGGGTCCCACAGGGAGGCAGGGGAACATGGGACCTCAAGGAAAACCAGGCCCAAAAGGAGAGGCTGGGCCCAAAGGTAGGTGGTTGGCACGTGGGCTCTGTGGGAGGGAAAGAGAGGAAGGACGCTGGCAGAGCATGATGTGCTGGAAGGCATGCTCAGAGCACCAGGAGGCCCAGACCACCGGCACTGGGAAGGCCCGGCCGGCCGCAGCCCTTCCCCCACAGCCTCACCTCGGCAGCACTTCCCTGCTGCCATCCCGGCAATAAGGGGCAGTCTCCCGAGTTCTCTCCCACCTGGAGCTGCGGGTGAAAAGCTCCAGGACTGAGGACGACACACGCTGAACACACTCCCAGCAGCATTTCTCCCAATCTGTTCCTTCCACAGGAGAAGTGGGTGCCCCAGGCATGCAGGGCTCTGCGGGGACAAGAGGCCCCATGGGTCCTAAAGGAGACAGGGGAGCCGCTGGCCAGCCGGGAGCCCCTGGCAGTGCTGGGACAGCAGGTGAGCGATGGAAGGAGCCGGGTCTGGGCTCCGGTTCCCATGCGTCCACTGAAGCTGTTGATGCCCACCCCTCTGCCCCACCCACCCAGTCAGAACTGGCGTTCCTGGCCAACGGGGGCAGTCTACATCCAAGGAGGATACATTGTTGGGCTCTGGGACTGTCTGTATCTGGGGAGAGTGTGGTGTGAGCAACATGGACAGTTTGTCTACAAGGAAGATTGGTTGCTGAGTGATGGGGACAGAGAGGGCACGTGGTTGGGTCCGGGGAACAGGCTGTGTATGGGGAGGGTGTGTGTCTGGGCCGTAGGACACTCCATGTACTGGGAGGGTGAAAACGCTGGGAAATGTGTGCAGAGTTCACCCAACTCCCCTTCTCTGATCCCAGGGTCTGCTGGAGCTGTGGGTCCACAGGGACCTCCAGGTGCCAGGGGCCCCCCAGGACTGATGGGGGAGAGAGGTGTCCCTGGGGACAAAGGAGCAAAGGGAGAGAGTGGGCTTCCAGGTAAGGTAGCCCCCATGGCTCTGGGGGTTGTGGGGGAGAGAGGAGCCCTCTCCACCTCGGGCAGCCCCTTCCCTTGGATGTCCGCCCCGTGACCTACAGTTGGCGGGTGGAAAGCAGGAGAGGTTGGCTGGCTGGGAGGCAGGAGAATTAGGCTCTGGTTTTAAACTCTGTTACTCAGTGGAGGGCAACCCTGGGCGGTTTTTCCATCTGATCATTGGGAAGAGTGTAGCACCCTTCCCAGATCATAGGGTAGCTTTGAGCATCACATAACCCAGTGGTTGAGAAGTACCTGAGGAACGTGTATTCCTGTCCCCTCAAAAAAGGAAGTGCTCTCAGATTCTCAGAGTCTGGAGTTAAAATGTCATCTGGTTCAGTGTCAGCGAGTTGCAGGGGTCTGCTCAGGGGACAATTAGCTCACAGCAGAACCACAGGAAATCCCATGGGCAGCAGGGGCCAGCACTGTGTCAGCAGAGGTGGGCTTCCTGGGGTTCGGTTCAGCAACTTAGCCCCATTCCCAATATGTGCCTGCAAGTGGGCGCCCTGCCCTGAGGCCCAGGCTCTGAGCTGATCGCAGGCTGTGCTGGACAGGCCTTCACTCAGCCTCTCTCCTGCAGATGTCACTGCTCTGAGGCGGCAGGTGGAGGCCTTACAAAGACAGGTACAACAACTCCAGGATGCCTTCTCTCAGTATAAGAAAGGTGAGTCCCTGGACCTGAGCCTGAGCTGCGCACTGAGGAACAGCCACACACGGGGTCTGAGCCTTAACTTGGAGTTGGCTGGGCCTGGGTCTAGGATTGGCTGGCACCTTGTTTAGGGCTGGACCCGGGACCGGGGCAGGGAGTGGGGCTAAGGAGAGGGCTAGGACACAGCAGCGCAGCACCTGCTCCCAGAGCTGGAAGCAGATGCAAAGAACGGGTAGGAGGATGCGGCCCGTGGCCCCAGTTCAGCGATGGTGGGAGCACGGTCAAGGACATAGGCTCCAGAACACCCCCCAGCATCACAGCCACCGTGACCCAAGCCAGATGGATGCCCCGAGCTCAGCACAGTTCTGCAGAGCTTCACTCCTGCCTACCCTGTGCCGGTCCCTCTCACAGACACGGGGACGCCCAACACAGGATGCGTTTCTTACCTCTGTGGGGCCAGGTGTGCAAGTGCCAGAGATGTTGCTGCACAGCCTACGGCAGCAGAGAATTCAGACTGTGTCCCAAGAGCTGGGGCTGAGATGTTGCCCTCGGGGTTCAAGGCCTTGGTGGGGGCCTGACCTTGGTGTGTGGCCACCAAGTGCCTCACCCTAGTTGTGCCCATGGGCATGCAGAGATTCTTCCCTAACCCGGGCATCCTGGAGCCAGAGGCCTCCAGCAGCACACGACTGAGGGCCCTGTGCCCTTGGGAACCTCCACCTCCATCCCCAGCTGCTCCTCCTCCTCCTCCTTGACGTCAGCTTTGAGTTCACATCCTTCAGCAAATCTCATTGATCCAAAAACAGTTTTCTGAAGTTGGGCATGAAGGGGCCTGACTGGGTGAGACACAGGGTTGGCTCCCAAGTCCTCAAGCTCAAGGACTCAAGGATGAGGGGCTCCAGCACTAGGCGTGTCTCCCTCCCTCCACACACGTGTCTGCATACGTAGTCACTCACTCGTGCACACCCCTGCAAGCCAAGGAGGACGTGTGCGTGCACCTGCACACACGTGCACTTCAATACAATCCCTCTCTCCACCCTGTCTTCACACAGAGCACACACGCGTGTACACACACACACGCGCGCACACACAAATCCAGATGGCCCTTAAGTGCTCCTGTGTCCCTTCAGATGGAATCATGGACATGCTCATGTATGTACACGCACACCCACCCAGATGCACGGAACATAAACCCAGTGACAGCACACGAACTCTTGCACTGACCCTGGGTGCGACCTTGAGCGGGGGGAGAAACTGCCCCCCGAGTCCTTGTTGAAGCTCCTCCGAGGAGAAGGGCAATGGGTCAGGGTGCAGCCCGGGCTCCTGATCAGCCCAGTGAGGCTGGGGCACAGCTCTCTCTGGAGCCCTGGAGATTTCCATCCACGAGCCCCTGAGCGCCAGCCAGCCTTCTCTCCTCTTCTAGCTGAGCTCTTCCCCAATGGCCGAAGGGTCGGGGAGAAGATCTTCAAGACGGGAGGCTTTGAGAAATCTTTTGAGGAGGCACAGCAGGTGTGCACACAGGCCGGGGGGCAGCTGGCCTCCCCACGCTCGGCCGCTGAGAACGAGGCCCTGCAGCAGCTGGTGACAGCTCAGAACAAGATCGCCTTCCTGAGCATGACCGACGCCACGACAGAGGGCAAGTTCACCTACCCAACGGGGGAGACCCTGGTCTATTCCAACTGGGCCCCGGGGGAGCCCAACAACAACGGAGAGGCCGAGAACTGCGTGGAGATCTTCACCAATGGCAAGTGGAACGACAAGAACTGCAAGGAGCAGCGCCTTGTGATCTGCGAGTTCTGAGCCACGGGGTGGGGGCGGGGGAGGCGGTGCTGGCCCGGAGCCTGGCCGGTGAGGCAGGGCCCAGGCCCGTGTGCTGCCAACAGGCCAATAAAAGATGACACCTCTGCCGGCCAGGGCGTCTCCACAGAGCTGGGGGAGCAGGCAGGGCTGCTGCTGAACGCCCATCTGGGAATAAAGCACCAACCGGCCGCACACGGTGGGAGCCCTGGCAGAGGAGGGAGGGCCGCGGCTTTCTCAGCTGCAGGGGTAAAATCAGGTTCCCAAGACCTCCCTCCTGCAAAACCCGATGGCTCCTCGTCAGCCCTCCTCCCCCTGCCTCTGAGTCCGCTGACCCCTCTCCCCCCCCCTCCTCTTTTGGCTTCCAGGACACCACTCTGGCTGGCTTTTATCTCATCCTTACAGCTGCTCCTTAGCAGCCTCTTTTGTGGCTCCTCATCCTCCTCTTGGCCACTTAATGGCCAGCGCTGGACCCTCAGCTCTCGGTTCTCTTCTCTCCCTGTGCTCCCTACAGGGTGAGCTCATCTGTCCCATGGCTTCCGGTGCCTTCTGCTTACGGCTCCCCACGTGCACCTCTGTTCAGGACCTCTCCCTGAGCTACAGACTCCTGTAGCCACTGCAAGCTGGAGTACCCAGGGGGCTGGGAGGCCTCAGGGGCTGCCTCCTGCTTCAAGGCCTGAGCCCAGACAGCTGCACAGCATAGCAGGATGACCTGGTGGGAGCATCTGCCCCCACCCCGCGACCCCGACTGCATGGCCTCACCCCCGTCGACTCCTCATCCTCACACAGCCCAGGTCCTCCCTCCATCTGTGTCAGTGTGACTGCCTCCTGGCTCATGGGAGGGAGCACTGTCTGCAAAGTCCTAACTCCCTCTGAAACGTCAGGCACAGATTCATCTCGTGCCCAGGTTCATCCCCAACCCTCCTGTGGCCTGGCAGTTCCAGAAGTTTCCTCCCCTACTCTGCCCCAGAGGTAGTCCAGTCAAATCCTCCTCCTCATTTGACGGATATGGGAACCAAGCACAGAGAGGGAGGGACTTGCACGGGGCCGCAGGCAGCTTCTACAGCTCCTCGGAAAACGGTCATCGGACCTCAAAGCTTATACTTTTGGCCTGTGAATTTTTAGGCCAAAGGCCTCTTTATGTTTAGCTGATTTCATTGACAGACTACGGCTAAGACAATTTAAATGACACCAGTGCTTAAGAAATTGGAATGACACGTGGATGAACCCTCCCCAGACAGGAAACCAAACGCTGTCTCTTTGCTCTCAGGGACCAGGGTGACTGCCCTTTCTGATCCTGCCTGAAGGGGACCCCCAAGACCCACCCCTCTTCCCAACACCCCTGCAGTCATGCCTCAGGGATCAAACAAAAGCCACAGCATGCAGCTCAGGCTCTCTGATAAGATCTTCCTCCTGTTTCTTGGAAAATCTCCATTCCCCGGAAGCTTTTGAAACAGGTCAGTTATACAATAATGAGCAAACAACTTTCCAGAACAGGGGCTGCACCTGGACACGCTCGTTGAGGGAGCTTAGAAAGGCCTTTTTTTTTTTTTACTGCAAATAAGAGACAGTAACTGAATCTTGTTTAAGCCAGAGAGAGGCATTTCTTCCAAGAACAGAGAGTTCTGAGTTGGCTCGAGATGGTCTCGGGGAGCACAGGCAGCGTCGTGCTTCCCCGCTGGCCTCTGTCTCTCTCTGTGCATCCTCACTTTTTCCTCCTTTACCCACCAGCTTCCTCTGCTTGCGAGTGTCTCAACTGCCCAGCATAGGGAATCGTGTGTCACAGAGATTGCCACCCAGAGATCAGAGGCTCTCGCTTGACATCAATTCAAAACTCCTGTGGAAATGAATCTACCTGCCCCACATGTCACCCTCTGGTCCAACCAATTAAACTTGGGGCCTGGGAGGGACCACACTGTACAATACACCCACTGGGACCCAGACAAGGTTGTGCTGGTCTGGGCAGACCCTCTCAACGTGGTCACTATCCGTTCCAATACTTAAGCCAAAGCCTATTTCTTGACAAGAGCGAAGGAAAGAGTGGCAGAACTATGTGACTCAGTAGGGAAAAAAAACCTCCTGCCATGTTGAAGGCTGGGAATGTGGAGAACCCAGACGCCAGGAAGAAGCTTCAGGTCAACCTGCCCCGTGGGCCACAGGAGTCTGGTTTGCTCTTCGGCACAGAGAGCAAGTAAGGAGGTGTCATTTGGCTCTGCAGGCACAGCCTGGGTAAAGGAGAGGACTGGGGCAGCTATTTCAGAAAACGCAGGTCTACGCCATTCTACAGCGTAGGGGCCTCTCCTGTACTGACATTCCTGGGCAGCAGTCAACACAGATCTTAAGCTGTTTCAACCCCACCCCAACCACAGTAGACATGGTTCCTAGTCTAGTGACCTCGGTGCCAGAAGAAGCCAGGACTGTGACTCGTATGTTCTCAGGAGCATTAAGACCCTCGCAATGCCAAGTGACTTCCTGGGAGCAGGCTGGGACCCCTCCTGTCTGGAGGGGAGACGACCACAGCAGTTTCATAAGGAAGCTCCTGCTCAGTTGAATAGGACATTCTCAAGTTGCCTACTGGTTCTCAGCCCTCCTGCCACCAAACCAGCCCACAACCCCTAATGAGCAGCAGTGGAGAGCTCTCTGGGGTTTGCTTCCCTAGGATCCCATCTTTGCCCTGAATTCCCTTATATAGAACATGGACAACCGAGTCACTTAAGTTCAGGGCATTCTCAATGACTCTTACCTTCCGGAGGCCCTTAATTCAACTTCAGTGCCATGCTTGACCTTTCCAAGTCACCTGTCTTAAATACAAGAGCAAAGAAGCCAGGTATCTGGAGATAAAATATTAATTTATATGTCAAATATTTCCCAGGCACTGGATGGACACAGCCGGTCATGCCCTCACAGACGCTGTAGCCCTGTGTGTCCCTAACATCAGAGATAAGCTGTAGAATGGTGCTCCAGCGATGGGCAATCGGGGTGCTCAGCAAGTAGACTTGGAATGAGTGGATGACTATAAAACCTGTGAGCCGGGAGAATAGAGGACAGCCATCTCCTGGTGCGGTCACCAGGACACTCCTTATAATTGTTCAGTCTAATTGTCTGTGACTATTAGGCCTCTGTATGACTAAGAGCTGGTATCTTGTGATCCATTTCACTGTTATTTGCCAACATTTCAATAAGAGAGGCCTGTGACGTGTCACCTCTGGGTGGAAGTGGATGAGGGCCAGTGCACATCTCGGAAATGCCCTCTTGTCCGATGCTATGGTCATCACAGAAGTGTTGGCAGATATAAAGTGGTACGATCCAGTGATCTGGAACCCTGAGTGAAAGTGTGGAAAGCAACGGCCTTTGGGGATCCCCTGGATCCACATAGACCATGAGCGGGAGCTGGGGGTCGTTATACGTGGCCGGTCCCTACTGGGTACCTTGTGAACACTGACACATTTGACCTCTGTTTATTGAAGCAGTGTGGTCTCCCTCAGGCGGCCCAGCTCAGAGGGCTTTGAGCCACAGAGGGACTCACGAGGGCCCCGCCTGAGCAAAATGGCACTTTTCATATTTATTTAGTAAGCAGACAGAACAAATGAAGTGAATAAGTGCAGGAGCTGAGCAAATGAAATCCTTAATTCCTACCTGTAAGTCCTTTGTAGGACTGAATAAAGTGTTTTCAAGATGTTTCCAGGCTCTTGATCTGAGGAAATAGTCACTATGACTCACGCCAGCCCCTCTGCACTCATTAACTCCCTGAGTGCTTCATTCTGGGTGTAAGTGGCTGGGCCAGCCCAGGGCCGAAAGGTCCGATGGCAGCTTCAGGCCGAGAAAACGCCTTTTGTGATCAGAGGAATGGATCCAAGAGAGTGGGAAGAGGCTGAGGGGGATGTGAATTCTCCAAGGACTCAAAGCCGAAAAGAGCTAGTGAGGCTGTGAGGACTTCATCAAATGGTTCCAAAGCTTTCATGAAAAAACAAACACCCAGAATAGCCCGAAAAATTACTTAAAAAAAATATAACAAGAGTGGACTTAATCATCTTTTGTTAAAGGGCTTTATAAAGCTAACACAGGCACAATAGTGTATTATTGACACAGGAAAAGACAAAACAATATAAAAAACCCCACAAAATCCAAAAAGGGTGGGTCCAAGGGTGTATAGATACACACATATATATATATATATCATATATGCATGACAAAAATAGAATACCAATATTGTAGGAAAATAAGGAATTGTTCAATTAATAATGCTGAGTTAAATGGTTAAGCATTTAAAGGAAAAATAAAATCATATTCTTTCAGTAACATATAAAAATCAAAATCAGAAGAAAATATAAGTAACGATTTGTGTAGTCATGGAGGAGGAAAGAGCTATCTAAGAATGACGTCAGAGAAGAAAACCAAAATAATATTATTGATACATCTGACTACACAAAAATCTATAAAACTTCTCTGGCAAAAAGTAAAACACAACATGAAATTAAGATTAAAATGCTGGTTTATGTGCAAAATACATAAGTAAATCAATAAGAAAAAGATGAATACCTAAATAGGAAAAGTGGGATAAGAATGAGAAGACGAAATTCATAAAAAGAGAGATAATGATGGCCAATAGTATTGAAACATGGTAAATTGCACAATCTTAGTAGTCATTAACAAATTCAAACCACAATATGTACCCAAAAATCTATGGGGTAGAGTTAAAGCTATCCTCAGAGGAAAATATACTTTACTTTCATGACTAAAAATCTAGAAAACATAAAAACATGAACTGAAAATACGCTGTGTTCATCTTTTTAAAACAAAATTCAAAAACAACAAGAAGAGACAAAACAAATATAAAAAGTGAAATTAATGAAACATAACATAAATAAAAATAACAGAAATGATAAATTAACCCAGAAACCAGATTTTCTAAAAGACAAATTAAAAAAATATATGCTTGGGACCCAGCACAGTGGTGCAGAGGTAAGTTCGCTTGCTCTGCTTCGGCGGCCCAGGGTTTGCCAGTTCGGATCCCGGTGCGGACATGGCACTGCTTGGTGAGCCACGCTGTGGTAGGCGTCCCACATATAAAGTGGAGGAGGATGGGCATGGATGTTAGCTCAGGGCCAGTCTTCCTCAGCAGAAAGAGGAGGATTGGAGGCAGATGTTAGCTCAGGGCTAATCTTCCTCAAAAAAAAAAATATATATACATATATGGATATGTATCTCCTGATAAATCTATATAAGACAAAACACCAATTTGTAGAGGAGTAGCAATGAGAAAGGCACTGTGACCACAGAAAGAGCTTTCGTGCGCCTTATCCCATCCTTTCAGGCGCCACATCTCCTCTTTCCAGGGGTATCTCCTCCTTCCAGGCGCCATATCCCCCTCCTTCCAGGGCCCCTATCCCCTCCTTCCAGACGTGGTCAGGATTTAGTGAGGGGAGGAAAGACCGAACTTGTGCCCCCTCGGCCCTCCGTGGCCGTTACTCCGTGGCCCGGGTCCGGGTCTACACCTCTGGCCTTGTGGCTCCATGCAGTTCCTGGCTCCCTGGCCAGGGAGGGGAGGGGACCCAGCTCTTTCTCTGTGGATCGGCCATCACCCTGGTGGCTGGTCAAGAATCACTGTGTCACAGTGAGTGGTGTTCACCCTCTCCAACCATCCTCCACCCTCCGTCTCAGACTCCGCGGGTGCTTCCACCTCCAGGCCCCCAGACCCCTTCGCACAGGGAATCCAGAAGAGTGGGCCACCTGATTCCTGCCCTGGAGAGCTCAGGACTCAGACCCTCCATGTAAGGAACGTGGTCACCCAGAAACTGCCCCCAAACGGGCACAGGGAGGAGTCTGCATGGGGGGGCAAGGTGAGCTCTCCGGAGGATGTCCCCAGTGGGGACACGGTCACACGTGCGACTCTGCACATGGTACCTGATCGCGCCTGTGTGGTGGCTGAGGCCATGGTTCCTCCGTGAGCAGGAAGCGGGACAGGTCAGGAGCACTGGGCGGGCAGACAGTGCCTTCCTTCCCACAGCCATCCCGGAGCCCTGGGTGATAACTGTGGGGCGCAGCTGACTTCCAGGGTCTCGTCCAGGCTGAGGAGGGGCAGCTGATGAGCCCTGTCAGCCATGACGTCGGGGAGAAGAGAGGCAGCCGCGTGCTGGTGTTTGCCAGGTCAGCTTGAGGGGCAGCGCTCTGCAGGACCCAACCAGGGGCACGCCCCGAGCCCATGAAGTCACCTCCAGGACCTCGGCAAGAATCCCGGGTCGTCTGTCAGCTGGGCTTCCAGAAGCCCGAGGACAGGACTGCAACAGAGACTGACAGCTGGTGGCACCACAAAGTCATCTCCACCTGAGACCCCGGGGAGATCCCCACGTCCCCTGTACCGGTGCCCTCACAGGTCCTTGGCTAGCCCCTAAAGTTTCCTGAGTTACAGGTCCCCAGCCTCAAATGCCCCTGCTTTTGAGACAATGTGGGGTCACCACAAAAATCCTGAGTAAACACTTAGCGGTGTTCTCCAGAAGAACTGATTCTGAGACAAGCCCAGCTTCTCTCCCTGCTGATGCTGACGGGGGACAAAGCCTTGGGCTGGATTCTTATCGGACTTCAGAAAGGTACCCAGAAAGTCCATGGATGGGAGACCACAGTTACAGGCTCCACAGAGCCGGGCCAGAGCAGCAGGGCTGTCCACAGGGCACGCAGGAAGGAGGGTGGGGGGTGGCACGCGGGTCCTGCCCCGAAGAGTCACAGTCCAAGTTTGGAAAGGAGACGGACATACAGACAAGGAGCAGAGAATTCCGCCAGGACCCAGGGCCTGCAGGACAGTGAGGGCTGCCAGGCCCGGCGTGCTGGAGACCCGTGGTCACCCCGCGGGAGCGTGCGTCTGGCCCTGGCCCTGCAGGGTAGGGGGTTTGGGGAACAGCGTTCCAAGTGGGGGTGAAACGAGTGAAAAGGGGAGCGGAGTAAAGCAAGAGCGTGTGCAGATGCAGACAGGCCTCACCTGGCTGCCCTGTGACCTCTGGTTGCTGCCCAGCCCTGTCTCCAGACCACCAGCAGAGGGCAGCAGGAGGCACAGCTTACCGGGCCACTACATGCAGTTCCCCCTGAAAGCAGGCTGCGCCCAGAGCCACTTTCCAAAATGAGTCTGGCTGCTTCTCTCCTGGGTCCAGCCTGCAGCTGAGCCAGGCCCCAGAGAAGGGAGTTGGGTCACCCATCTTGGGGAGAACTGAGATTCAGTCATTCATTTGTTCATTCGTTTATTCATCCAAGTTATCAAGTGTTTGTGGCTCCTAGGCCTTTTCTAGGCCCTGGGGCTGCACAGGTGAATGAAGCACAGTCTTGAAATAATCACAACAACAAGGAGAACGAACACTTGCATGGCATTCTACTATTATCCCAATTTTGCCATCAAGGGAACTAAAGCACAGAGAGGGCATGTGACTTGCCTGAGGTCACACAGCTGCAAAGTGGTGGATCCAGGGCTTGAATCCAGGCAGTCTGGCTCCAGGGTCCTCTCGATGACGCTGCTACACTGATGTAACTTAAACACATAAATGGCCAAGATGGTTTTAGATGACTGTAATTGCTAGTGAGACAATGAAACAGAGCATTGTAATGGTGTCTGGGGCTGGGCAACCTTAGATCCAGTGTCAGATAAGGACTGGGCGGGTAATGAGGGCATTTGATCCAAGGCCTGGCAGGCAGGATCATATTAGCACCCAGACAATCTCTGTGGAGCCCTAGTTGTCCCTGGGCACAGCTCAGGGCCTCTTGTGGACCAAGCACCCACACAGCTGGCCCAGAAACTCTGGGACCCCCCAGAGCCAATGCTCCCCATTGAAGGGCATGCAGATAGCGGCCTGGCCTCGGGCTGAGGGGAGAGCAGGGCTGAGCCCCTGGCAGCAGGATGCAGAGGACGGTAAGCCCTGGGTCTGCAGGTTTCCTTACGGGCACGCACACACTCACGCGTGCACAGACACACAGACAAATACCCCCAAATCAGTGTACACACAACGCCCCACTCAGAGTCTCACCTGCCCAGGGCCCCCCAGTCCCAGACACTCCCCAGAGGTATCCCAGGTGCAGACCCACCCTGGAAGTCAGGGGAGGCAGAGAGACCCTGGAAACGGGTAGGGAAGGATGTAGGTCGGCAGCTGCTTTTCACTAGCGGGGCGCCAATCGTTGAAGGAGCTTGGGGTCTGACCTACAAGGAATGATGAAGCCCCCGCTCCCTGGCTCCAGGGCTCCCTGCAAAGGTGAGATGAGGCAGGAAGCAGCTGTGGTGACTGGATTTCTTAGGCGATGGTTTCCAAAATGGGGCAAACATCTGGCTCACCGAGGGGCCTCGTGAAGACGACAGATTTCTGAGATTTTTGACTCACTGAGTCCAGAGGGGAGCCAAGATCCTAGGATCTGGCCAAGCTTTCCAGGCAATTCTGCTGTCACTGCTCTGAAGAGCTGCATGAGATGAGATGGTACAGGCACTCTGCTTGCCAGGACAGGGCAGGTTGGACCCGGGGCTGGCGGCGGCTAGCCGAGTCCAAGGCATTTGCTTAGCCAGTTAATGGCTACTTGCATCCCACTTCTTTTGAAAGAAGTGTACCCAGAAAGGTGTTTGAGCAAAACACCTGTGTTTTCCTGGACAAACCACTGGCCCCTAGCTGGAGACACTGTCTCCTCCCCACACACGTTCCCACCAGAGTGGGGAGCCCTCTTCCCAGACAGAACCTGCCAGAGGCCCTCCTCTCCTCCCAGCGCTCCATCAGCCACTCGGGACACTGAGACAACACCACCTTACAAAGGCCACGTCCCGACGCCTCGTGCCCAGGCCCCAGGACGACATTTGATCTCTTCCTGGTTAATGAGAAAAAAAAATCCCCGATTTCTGGCAGGTTCGGAAGCACAGATCAGTTACACAATAACGAACAAACAACCAGGGCAGAGGCTGTCGGCCCTGACGCCCACACCAAGGGGCGAGGCCGGGGTCTGACTGTGCCCCCGGAGCTGGTCGATCCTGGACAGCCACAGAGAAGCGAGGCAGCTGGTCCTGGGAAGGAGGGGGATTCGAGGTAGGTGAATGCTAGGCCTTCAGGGGCACCCCAAGGCCCCGCCCTCTGGTTTGGGCATGGCTAAAAGTGAGCACAGCAGAGCTGGCGGACTCCAGAGAGAGATGGTCCTGCAGGAACAAGGCCCTGCAGACGCAGGATCCGCACGCGGCCAGAGCCGGGCCTTGAATGCCATGGGAGTGGGCAGTTGCTTTCATGCTGGCCCGGGAAGCAAATCACAGTTGGGCTGGCCGTGTCTACACTTCCACAGGAGACTGTTGACTCACAGATGTCATCTGAAGTCAGAGCTGCCGTGCCCAGAGCAAGGCGTATTGGCCATTCTCACCTGCTCGGACGGCCTTTCTGTGGACGTGAGAAATAGGTGTAGGTGCTCAGTCCACGGTTACTTTGGACAAAATTGACAGGTGACAAAAACTGGAAACAGTTCTCAGACCCCACAGCTTTGCTCCTGGAATAGGCCTTGAGGTCTGGGCCAGCGAGTGGCTGTCCATTCATCCAGGTTTTGAAGGGAAAGCCTTCGCAGACCAGTTTACAGGTGGGCAGACTGAGGCCCAGGTTCCACCATGCCGCTCGGTGTGCAGGTCAGGGAACTGTCCTCAAAGGGCAGCCTCCTGCTCCCATATCCTAAACTGCCCACCGGAGAGGCTGTTGTCCCTCCCTCAGCCATAGCTCCGCTCACGGAGACCCAGGCCCTGTGCGTCCCCAGCATGACCCCAGGGTCAGGCCCAGGCTCCACAGAGGCCTGAGCCCCACTCCCCTCCCAGGAATGCTCTGAGGCACGACCTTCCGGTTCTTACTCTGTGCAAAAGGCATCAAAGGAAGGCGCTGCAGGTCGTGTGTGTCTGCCCCGTCTCCAGTCCAAAAGCCAGCCTGGGGAAGGATACGGTGGGGCCTCCTGCTCCACCAGAACCAACTGCAGGGCTCAGGAGGTTGCTCCGTCATCCCCACTCCCGAGGTCCCAGGAGAAGGTGCTGCCCGAGGCCCCTGAGGTCTGCTCTTGCGGCACCTGGCTTCAGTAGGGCCCCTGTGCAAGAGATGCCCTCGGTCATCCAGGGAGCGGGAGAGACCGCCTGCAGAGTCTCCTTGAGTCCATCATTCCCCTCGTGTTCCAGGTCCTGGGAAGCCCGATGGACCGCAGTTTCTACCTTCGGACTCTCGTGAGAACCCTGTTTCTTAGATCAGCTCCTCCTTCTCTTGAGCTGGCTCGCAAGGGGCCCCGCTGCCTGCTGATAAGAACTGAGAAGTGAACACAGTGAGGTGGTTGTCTCCATTTCTAGATCTGGGCAAGAACGGGGGCAAGGGAATACACTGAGAGAAAGGAGCCCGAAAAGACCATCGGTGCTGGGTCAGGGGAAGAAGAAGCCTGACGGGGATGGGAGAATGTGAGCTCGTCCTGGAGATTCCTATCGCATTTCCCTGAATGGGGGGCCATCATTAGCTACTGGGAAGCAATCCATGTGAAGGACACAACTGCGTCTTCTACAGTTGTACAGCTAAAGAGACTGTCCTTCACGCACAGTATAAACAAAGGAGACGCTCATCTCAGGGCGGACCACGATCCCTACCCGTTACATAAAATAGAAAAAATTATATGATAGTTAACGTCTCTGATTTCTCATTTTCGTCCTGGCTATGAGAAAATTTAGATGTAACTTTTGTGCTTGATATGGTCGTTCTCTTGTTCTGGGTCATCCTATGTGTACCTTCTTTCCTTCTAAAAAGTTTCCAGTCTTTCCTTTTTCTATTTGCCACATGGCCTGTGGTTTCCTATGAGCCTCTGAGTTTTAAGAAGCTTCGCCTTCCTTTGGTAGGCAGTCTGGGTTTGAGTTGAAAATAGTGAATTGTTCTGCTCCATATCACAAAAATACTCTTCTCGTTGTCCCCAAGGGCGGTGCCTAAAGAAAAGCCATGCGGGATTGGGAATTCAGTGATGTGACAGTCTAGGTGTGCTAGAGGCCAGGGGCACAGGTCCTGTCACCCTCACCCCGATAGCCCAGAGCCTCAGCATGTCCCGGCCCAACTCTGTCCCTGCCTGGCAGCCCTGCAGAGGGAGCCCCCCTGGGAGAGCTCTGCCCTGTGTGCACTCTCGGTGTCCAACCCGCTCATCCATCCGTAATTCTTCAGTGGACCCTGTCAACAAATACTCAGCAAGCACTTACTGGGTGTGAGGTGCTGTCTCTGGTAGTTCAAATACAAAGGAAAATAAAATGGAAGGCTAATTTTAACAAAGAAATATTTAAGTTAAAGTGGCCCTTGGCCCACTCACGAAATATTTCCCAATCTCATTCTGTGAATGGCATTATTGGAGCTGGAATTCACTCTCCTCCCCCAGTTTGCTGAGGGGATTCTATATAGTCTCGGCCCCCCCTGCCTTGTTATTGCTGAAAAACCTCCACGGCCAGAGCAGGATTGTGGCCAACGGAGCATCATAATCCGGTTCATCAGAATCCGATTCAGGGGAGGATTTATTTGCTGACTAGATGACACCGCGTAATTTGACCCACAGGGTATGAAACTCACCTTTGGGGAGTTTTGCCTCTTGTCTCTATTAATAATGAGCCATTGACCTATAATTGGACGAGGATGTCACAGAAGGAAGGGGATGCTGAACACGGGGGCACTGAGGCTGATGATGCCCTGCGGAGAGGGACCCGGCCTGCCTGCCGATTGCTCCCTCCCATGAGGCCAGTATGTGCCACCATATCAAACTAGTCTCCTGAAAGTATTCAGGAGTAAAAGGATGCCTTTTGTCCTCAAGATCACCCTAGTGACTAGCCCTGGGCTGTGACATGGTTCTGGCCATGGGAAAGAACTTAAGGCAGGAGAGTTTGGCATCAAGTAGTGGCAACTCTTGGAGAAAAAGGAATTGGATCAATCAGAGGCTGAGATCTACTGCCCACGCTGACGCGGATGTGGCCCTGCACTGGTCCTCCAGGGGGCAGCAGTGTCCTCGAGGTAAGAGCAGAGGGTGTAACTGCGCCCTTTCCATGGCTGACTCTGACCCAACGCTGTGCTCTTAGGCAGGACAGACGGCGTCCTTTGCCACGACTGGACCAGAAACCCTCACGCCCCACTGTCAGCCTCTCTCCACTTCTCACCCCACAAGCAAACACATTCCCTTCGTTTTCCTCCCATCCCCGTGAAGGAACGAGCCAACACCAGGTGTGGGAATACTGGCATTGGATTCTCTTTCAGAGCAGCAGAGAGCGCTGCAGGGCCCCGGGGAGGGGGCTGAGGAACCCGCCTCTTCAGGCTGGGAATTCACAGACCGCTGTGAAGGAGGAAGAGCAGGCGATGTCATTCCACAAGCCATCCTGCAGGAGGACCACACAGTCCTCCCCCCAGCTGTGGTTGTTGGGCTCGTTGCTCTTCCAGTTGCTGTAGGCCAGCCTCCCTCCTGTCACATACTCAAACTTCCCTTCAGTACTCTCGTCTGTGATGCCCAGGAAGGCAACGCCATTGGCCACATTCTGGATGGCTTTGTTCTCCTCGGCATTCTTAGGGGTGGCCACGAAGGCCCGGAGCTCGGCACACAGAGCCTTCACTTTGGAAAAAGGCATCTTTTCACCGTTGGTCACATAGAGCTTCGTCCCAGACTTTTTGCCCAAGGAGAAGAATTGCACTGAAATCACAAAGGGTGGGTGAGGTTGGCGTGGCTTGGAGCCCAGCCCAGGACAGCAGGTGAAGAAGCCCTTCTCTGGGAGCTCAGGACTCTGGAAAAGGGCCCATGCTCCACCTCCTCGGATCAGATCCCAGCGAGGAAGTGCTCCTCCACTGCAGAGCAAGTGCCTGGCCGAAAGCCTGGACTCTCCTGGAATCCCAGCCTTGAGACAAATGTCTGTTAAAAACTGTCCCAGTGCAGGTGGACATAGGGAAACGCGCTTGGGCCCCACTGCCCGGCTTGGGCTCCTGGATGAGGGAGAGGCGTGGACAGCCATCTGAGAACATTGGCTGCTGAGAAAGGCGCAGAGATTCTGGAGCTGGCAGACTCCGTGCAACCCTCCTGTGCTGCTTCCTAGCTGTGTGACGTTGAATGAATCACCTGCGCTCCTGGATCTATTTTTTCTCACCTGTAAATAAAATGGGTATAATCCCCCCAAATACGGTTGGTGGGAGGACTGAATGAAACCATGTAATGAGAAAATGCCTGCCTAGCTCAGGCCCTGGTGTATAATGTGTTCAAAAATGCTGGTTCTCTTCTACCCTCCCCCAAACCTACAGCACTATGAAGAAAAAGGAGAGCCAAGAACACACCAGGGGCAGGAAAAAAGCTTACACTTTTTGATGTGGTCCAGTTCTGATTTCAGGGTCCTTAGTTCTTGCTCTAAGTTCGCCAGCTTAGACTCAGCAACTGCAAAGCAATAGGGGGAAGGGTACGTATTTATTGAGAAGACCTAAAGTTGGAGAGCAGAGTATTTTGCAAAAAACAGAAATATATATATATATACATCTTACTAAAAAGTATGCTTATTACAGAAAAATAAGAAAACAAAAAGAAGCAACAGGGAAAAAAACTGTACTCCCACCTTCCCAGATCCACTTTAAGTAACTCTCGTAAACTATAACTCTGGAACTAATGCTAATAATAATAACTTGTAAATTACACCTCTGGATTTTTTTTTCACACACTGCTTAAATATTGCAATTTTATAATTATTTATTATAAAAGGCCCAACTCATTATTCTCCTTTTGTGAAAATTTTTCTTAATCATTCTCTTTCGTTTCTTATTTTAGGCAAGCTTTTTCATGCTTTTATAATTTTGATGGGCTAGTAGATAAATATTAACAAGAGGTGATCGTTTTTCTTTCGTTGTTACTGAAATTACTTTATTTTACTCTGAACCCAGTTGCTGTGATGTTTCCCATCGTCTAGGGATCCCGTGAAGCAGAGCATTTTCAGGCCACTCTGGTGACAATAGACGTGAACCCAACACTCAGAGGACCCGTTTCCTCCTCTGCAGCCTGTGGACCCCGTCGGCTGGAGAGCCAGGCCCGTCTCCTGCAGGGCCTGCTGGGGGCGCCCGGCGGGGTTGGAAGTCTGTGCTCAGGCGCTAGTGGGAACCCTCTGGTCCCGGGAACGCGGAGGAGGAAGGCGGGTGCCGGGTCAGGCAGCAGAGCTGAGCCCCTGCCAGGGAGGCAGCAGGAGAAGGTGCACATGTCACCTGGCCCTCAGGTTCCCAGCACCACGATGCCAGCTAAGCTCCTTACCTGAACTGTCTCCACGATCCCCTTTCTGGCCCTTTGCTCCTGGCGGCCCAGGAACCCCTGTATTTCCCGGAGGTCCCAGCTTCCCTGGAGGGCCCTGCAGGCCTCTGGGCCCTTGTCCTGTTGGAAGACAAAGGAAAGGTGACCCCGTAGCTGTCACTCATTCTCTTTCTCCAAAAGCCCACTACTCAATTCACACTGAGCTCAGGAAACCATCAGTGAATGTGTGATGGCCAAAGAGGGAAGCTGTCCCTGCATCCCCGGGGCAGCCTGCGCCGAGGGCCGGCTCCCTGAGCAGGCAGGACACCCCTCTCCACAGACAAGCACACATTTCCAGTCCCTGGGTGGACATGCGGGATCTGGAGGAGCCGAGAGGCATCTTTCTTCTGGGGAGAACGACCTTTCACAGGAGCGGTTCTGAGTGAGTTGTTGTCCTCCGCAGCGAAGGTGACCCCTCACGCCTCTGTGCTGGACCTTCCCAGGGAAGAGTCTCCCCCTGGGTGGGGTCTTGAGAAGGCAGAGCGGCCCGTCTCGTACCTGGCTCTCCCTTTTCTCCCTTGGCTCCATCTCGCCCGTCTCTGCCCGGGGTGCCGTTGGTGACCGGGATGCCACAGGTGATCACGGAACAGGTCTTCTGGGCATCCTCACAGGCTGTTTTTCCTGAGCCGGACGCTGTCACCACCCACAGAAGAAGGACAGGAAGTGCTGAAAACGGGAACATGGTCCTGACCTTAGAGTGGAGAAAGTCAAGAGAGTGATCTCATCTTGTTTAGCCAGTGTTCGCTACGGCCTCCAGCGTGCCGGGCCTGTGCAGAGCAGCCACACAGAGGGGACTGTCACAGCCCTTGGCTCTGAGTTACCCCCAGGCTGCCAGGGGACAGACCAGGGAAAAGTGTTAGAGTCACATCAGTGCTAGCACAAAGGAAGGGGCGAGAGGAACGTAACAGGGCCATTTTCCCTGGGCCCCCAGTGCCCCGTGCTATGGGTTTAGTGGGCGCATGAGAGCCCACAGGGTCTGGAAACGACAAACCAGCTTTGTTCCTGGTGGCCTGGCACAAAGGCAAAGAGGGTTCATGCCTGGATGATCTTTGGCTCCTCTTTCTCACCTCCCCTCCTTGAGGGCCAAGGGAGCCTCAGTTTCCCCCCTCTTCCCCATCCTGTGGGTCCCAGAGCTACATTCTTTTTTTTTTTTCCTTTGTCTCCCCAAAGCCCCCCGGGACATAGTTGTATGTTCTTCGTTGTGGGTCCTTCTAGTTGTGGCATGTGGGATGCCGCCTCAGCATGGCTTGATGAGCAGTGCCATGTCCGCGCCCAGGATTCGAACCAATGAAACACTGGGCCGCCTGCAGCGGAGCGTGCGAACTTAACCACTCAGTCACGGGGCCAGCCCCCCAGAGCTAGATTCTAACCATAGCAGGTGACGTGAGGCCCCACAAGACCCATTTCAGAGCAGGACCCGGTTTACAAGATCCATTCTCTCATTTCACATAAAAATCTCCTGTTTTAAACTCTGGGCCCCAACTACCCGCAGAACCACAGCTGTTTCCCCAAAAGCCTGTCAATCATCTTGCGTAAAGTCTCTGTTTTGTGACAGGGCTAAAGCAAGCTGCCAGCATACACACCTCACTTCCGTTCTTCCGTTTGCTGAAAAGACCACCCTTCAGTCTGCAGATGGTCAAGTGGATCCAGGAAAGACACAAATGCCCCAGGTCAGAGGAAGAGAGGCCCGGAGTGGGCCTGAGAACACTACCAAGGCCCCTGCCTGGATCTCACCAGGATCAAGTCAAGTGGCCAGACTCTTGGCCCAGGCCCCCACCTCTGTCCTCCAGAAATGACTTACTAGGGCCTCCCCAGGCTCAGAGGCTGTGGCAGGTAAGCTGGTCCTCCAGCCCAGGCCTCTGGCAGATGCCTCAGCAAAGTCAGGCCCAATTAGCCTGCTGACCAGGGACAGTGCTGGACTGGCCTTCAACCCCAGGTTAATGAACAACCATCCTTAGAACTGCTCTATTCTGGGCAGTTCTCCGGGGCTGCTGGCGAGGTCTCCAACACAGCGCTGGCAGCTTTCTGCTTGAACTTCCCTTCTCCTGCCCCCTCCCACACATGCGTCTTTACAGCTCGGCCACCTCTGATCCTCTAGGATCACGGATTCTCAGGATAGTTCCCTCCAGATATTTACTTCTGTAAGAGACACACGTGGACATTCTACCAACAAACACACAGTCATGCACACTCACACACACACACGCAGGGGCACATCCCTCTGTATCAGTCGCTCTGACTAGCTCACCCCTCCTCAGTGTTTAGTTTATTTGGGGGTAGGGGTGGGTGGAGAAGAGATTAAAGGCCTACAACACTGAGTCACCTTGTCACTCATCTCTCATGCGGAACATTTATCCAGTGTCTTCTTTGGGAATGACACAGGACTAGGCATAAGGGGAAGAGGAATTTGTAGATAACTTAAATTCCAAGCTGAGTGTGAACATTTGCACGAGCTGTTCCTGCCCAGAAAACTTCCCTCTGTCCTTGCATAATTGTTTGTGTAATTGTCATTCAGACTTTAGCTTAAGTATTATCTCTGGAGGAAGGGCTTTCCCTAACCCAGGTTAATTTTAAGTAGCTGCTCTATCACGAAATTGCAATCCTCTGTTTCAGTTCTCTGCCTATAATTTATCTCTGTGGAAAGTTCTCTTATCTGTTTGGTTGCATACTTTTTGACCGCCCCACTCCGGTAGAACAGGAACTTCATCAGAACAGGGCTCTTGTTCCCGGTTGTCGTGCTTCACCTAGAAGAGTGCTTGGAAACAGTCAATGGTCAATAAACATTTACAGAATGAATGAGTCCTCCAGCGTCACGCCCTCGGAGCAGCCCTCTCCACCTCTCGCCATCTAGAGCTGCCGACCATGCCCACTTTCCCCGTGTTTTTGCTTTCCTAGGACAGGAGTCATGTTGGATTCCCCTCATCTCCAGAGGTGCAGTGCAGGGCTGGGCATGCAGGAAGGATGCAACGAGAGAGGGAGGAGAGAAGAGAGGCCACAAGCAGGGGAGGACACCAGACCAACCCACGGCTGCTCCACACCTGGGTTCCCAGGAGTGTCCAGCTCTTATCTCCAGAGCCTGATCGAGTGGCCCTTTTCAAGTCCCTGACGTGACCTTTGATTTCAAACTCGCACTCACTCTGTGGAACATTTAGCCTCACCAAACAACTCAAGAGGCCTGCTTTATCCTGGTGGGGAGCGGGGCCAGGCCACTTCCCTTTGGCTCTGCCTGGCGATTGGCGTTTTGGCTTCTCAAGGGTCATCAGCCTTGTGTACTCAAGTCACCATGCCCTGTTCAGCAGCCCTCCCAGGTTCCTGCTATAGAGGAGCCTGCCGGGCACCAAGAGGGGCCATTGCAAAGAAGACCCCTCTCAGAGCTGTGTTTACTGACGGCATTGACACAACTTTGAAGGGCCCATAGGCTCAGAGGGCAAGGAACATTTCAACCCACACAGCAAATGGGCAGACCTCCCAGAAAGGTGCAGATTTGAAACTGAGAGATTTACATAAAACCAGGAACCTACACGTGCTACAGTCTTAGGGGAAGGTGGCTTGGGGAGGAGGGCCGAGGATAAGGCAGGACGAGTGAGAAATGTGCACCATGAGCAAAGGGACAATAAGAAAGCCTTGACTCTGGTGGGGAAAACATCCTCCTTTGAGGACGTGTATTCATGCCTGTCCTCCCATAGACCTCGGGCTTGAATGGAGGCTATTATTATTATGATCTTGCTATGATTATTATTATCAAATTTTGCTATTTACACCAAGATGAAAAATTATTTTTCAAATGTCCCGGCTCATCACAACCTTGTGCATCACGGGGATGTAAAGGCAGTGGGGGACCCCACCCTTAGCCCAGGCTCCTCAGGGCTTCCTCAGGTGGAGACCAGGTAAATTTGAGTTCACCCTATAAAAACTACCAGACACAGTAGGAAATAAGCAGAGTGAAAGCTGACTGACACAGCAAGCCTCAAAAATAGTCTTCCAGGGGCTGTCAAGTCTACACAACAGATAAATGGACTTATTTTTCTTAAAATTGGCATCTGAGCTAACACTTGTTGCCAATCTTCTTCTTCTTTTTTTTCTTCTTCTTCTCCCCAAAACCTCCTGGTAGGTAGTTGTATATTCTAGCTGCAGGTCCTTCTAGTTGTGGCATGTGGGACGCCACCTCAGCATGGCCTGATGAGCGGTGCCATGTCCATGCCCAGGATCCGAACCGGTGAAACCCTGGGCCACCAAAGCAGAGCTCAAGAGCTAACCACTCCGTCACGGGACCAGACCCTAAATGGATATTTTTAAAAAGACAGCATAAATAATGAACAATAACTAAAAATTAAATAATGAAATTAGTGAGCTAGAATAAGGAAATAATTGGAGAGCTAATAATAATATAAAAAACTGGTTCTTTGCAAAAAAAAATAATAAATTTGGCAAATATAACCATAGTAGTTTAGATTATGCTTCCTGACTTTTCACTTCGTCTTATCAAAAAAGTACATATCCACGGCCTTTGCCATGGAACTTTGCAGAGCCTCCCGCTAGAATTTGTGGAGTGAAGCCCCACCCCTTTGAGGTTTGGCCGTGTGACTGTGAGCAGGAAGGGAGCAGCAGCTTTAAACGTGCTTGCAGGTTTAACCCGGTCTCTTCCTGTTTTTTCCAATCATGGGAAGAATGTGTCCCTGGTAGCTGCTAACATCAGAATAGTTAAGTCATGTGGAGCAGACATGAACCCAGCTAGAAGGCTGGAGTAAAACTGGCTATTAAAGTCCAGCCATGTGCTAGTGGTTAACAGCACAGTCTCTGGAATCTGACTTCCTGTATTCATGGCCCAATTCTACCATGAGCTGGCTGCACGACCTTTGGCAAATCACTTTGACCTCTATGTGCCTCAATATTCTTATTTGTAAGTTGGGGATAATAATACCATCTACGTAATAGGGGTAATGAGGATTACGTGCATTAACACAAGTATAGCGCCTGGCACGTAGTCAGTTTAATGAGAGTATCAGCCATTAGACCAAGTGAAGTACATCCCAGGAATGCAAGGATGGTTCAACATCAAGCAATGAATTCACGCGACTCATTAATTTAATATGTAACAAGTTTGAGTCTCAGTGCAGAGATGTACAATCCTGAAATTTGAAGCTCACCTTGTTCTTGAAACTAATGCATGGTCTCAGAATTCTTCATACAGAACCTTCCCAATCACCTGCAGTGCAAACTTTCTAGGTTTAACACACGGTCCAAACAAATCATTACTGTCCTCCAGTTTTGTCGTAAGATCTCAGTTTCATCTCTGGGTCATCACCACCCTGGCCATAGTGTGGTGGCTTCTTGAAGTGAAGCGTGGGCAGAGGCTGATCTCTTATTTCTTAGTGTGTGTGGGGAGGGAGTAAAGAGAATGATGCCGCCAAGGGTGAGCAATACCTGCTCATGGGAGGAACCACGTGTCAACGGGGACTCTGCTGCTTCTCAGCTCATCCAAACTGGTTGTTGGGTGCCTTTGGATGACCATTTACAAATGACAGCTCCTCCCAGGAGCTGGTTTTCAGACAAGGAACTCAGTAAGAGTGTCCAGCTGCATGCTCCCTACCCTCAATGTCACATCAGTGGACAGTTCAACTCATGGTCTCTTGTTCTTCAAATCCTTGTGTTCCAAGGAGCAACCTGATCATGAGTAGGTTTAAACCCCAGCTAGCTTCTGTGACATTAGCATTCACACAGCCCCTGGGAAAATCGATCCAAGTGGTAGAAATCCACATTGCCCCGGAACACCCCTGTTCACAGTTCTATTTTCGCCTTCCTCCACCTCCCCATCCCTCAGCATGATCAGGACCTCTGCTGGTTCAGTGCTGCAGCAATTTTTGAACACGAGAGAATCTCCATTCCTGCCATAGGTGACTGAACCAGAGAAGGCGAAGTAATTAGGGCATTCCTACTTGCAAAGATTAGGAGGATAGGACAGTCCCCTCCACCATGACACAGGGAGATGAGAAGGAGAGATAATTTTCACTATAAGAGTACAGATGCCACCCAACATGGGTCAGGTCCTTTCTCTTCTTTAGTCTTCCTTATACTGACCAAGGGGATGGGAATTACTAAGCCATTCATGTCACGCAGCCCCCTCCTTGGAGGTCCCATGGTGGGGTCCCTGGGGCATTTCTTCAACCTTAAGAGATGAGGTACTTAGAGCCTCTCAGTCTCACCTGTGGGCTCTAGATGTCAGTACCCAGGAATGGGAAATGACCCAACCCACACTTGACATCCCTTTGATGTTAACAGACCAAAGGAAATGCCCCCCAAAAACCATCTGATAAAGTTTGATACACATTCATGATTAAAATGAATCTCAGTAAACGAAGAAAAAGAAAGAACTTCTTTCCCTTGATAAAAGGTGTCCATCAAACCCTAAAAGGGGCAATATTACTATCTCCAACAACATATAGGACTCCTAGCTCTTATAAAATGGTAAGAATTACATACTATAAATATAAATATAAGGAACAGGCAAAATTTCAGCCATTTGCAAATACAATCATATATTTATAAAATAGAAGAGAATCAATTATATTAGAAATATTAGGGGGAAAATGAGAATCCCAAAAGATGGTTAGATATAGGATCAACAAAAAATAAATCAATAGTTTTCTTATGAACTAGGAATAATTGATTTCAAATGTGATAAAAATAATATTGTAAAAATAGCAAATAATACCATAACGTAAGTAAAAATAAACCTAACAAAAAATGAGAAGACGTCAGTTTTCAGAGGTTTAGACTATTCATCTATAAAATTGGAAAATATGCTTTTCCTTCTTGCTTTTTTGAATTTGGGGGAAGACTCAATAATTCATGAGCTAGGCCCTAAGCACATGTGGCAGGGTGACCAGATTAAAAATTAACATTCACGTGACAATGAGAAATATTTCTGCTCATTCCCATCTGGTTTTGTTGGTTTTGATCTAGAAACTCTTCTTGCCCAGGAAAAGAGGTATATGCAATGAGGAGAATGTTCTAAGACGTGAAGGTGGGAAAAGTAGGGGCTCTTCTGGACACGGGATGTGCATTTGTTTGTCTTCTGAAGAAAGTAGGGACATGGTCTGATTCCCACTCAGCTCTGGGGTGTGGAGGCATGGTCTCACTCCACGCAGACCTAAGACTGATGTGGCTTACAAAGGTCTAGGACACAGCCCTGAATACCATCAGCTG